ATTAAAATTTTTTTATAAATTTCTTTATATATCACACTTAGCCTAGATCAACATCAGGAGTTATACAGCATAGTAAGAATTTCACTAGAACTCTATCTTACTACAATTAAACTTAGGCTAAACTCGTTGTTAAATTAGTTACTACTAATATCGTGGTATCAAAGCCAGATACGAGGTTCTAAGGTTGAGCCTACTTCAGTAACAACCAAACGGTAGATGGAACTCAAAAAACAAGTGTACCATAATCAATCCGTAAGAAAAATAAACATAGAGTATATTGTTCAAGTGTTCGGTTAAGTATTAAAGAGTACATAAATTAAGAATATAATTTAGACAAACGAAAAGTAGTCTCTCTAACTTAATAACTATCCACAGTCCAACAAAATGTTAGGAGATACGAAATGCGGCTAATACAATATCTCTAGAACTTTTCAGTATCCAACTGTTGACAATATTAGCAAAAATCATTGATGTACCTGACTTTAAGTTGTGTGTGCGAGGATTACTATTGCAGTTGCTCCAATAGAAGTGAAGTTTAAACCTGAGATTTAAGTGGTTGGAAAGCAAATGATCTAATCATTAAGCGAACAAATATTCTGTTAACTGAGGTGGAAATGTAAATATAAACATATTCCAACTAAAATAACACAATCAGTCCTGAGAAATACAGAATCTGGTAATTACGCGCACCATAGGTTCAAGTTGCCACAACATATAGTCAAAGCAAGATGAAGTTATCAAAACAAATCCCAGATTAATAAAAGTAGTAACAGTATTAGTGGTAATAGGCAAAAAACAGTAACATTCGACAAAAAGGATATTTAAATTAAAAAGTATGAGTATTTTAAAACAAAGAGTGGATGCGTCGGCGCTATTGTGAACGATTCTGAGCGATGTCATTCAACGTCTCCGACCACTGATCCCGGTTATCACGAGACCTTAATTAAACAACCCGAACCTACCAATAGGACTCAGTCTAACAGTCAGTGTCTTCATGAGCTGGTATCATATCCCGGTTCGGTGATCTCCTAGCTTTTTTCCAACCTGGTCCTACACTAGCAAACATCACGCTTCAAGGTATATGGTAGGGTTAGGTACACGTAGTACATGTCGGAAAATAGTACAATCAATCAAATTCAGGTAAACATTATTTAGATTAGTTGATTACATTTGTTTATTAGTATTTATTATTAATCTGTCTTGGAAAAAAATAAACGATGGTTGAATAGACAACAAAATTAAGGCTATCTTTATGCCCATACTTATTACTGGATAAATAGTGAATCTGTAACTGAACAAGTAAGCAAGGAAAAACAACTGATAAATGACATCCCAGTATGTGATTAATACAGTCCAATAATTATTTTTACACAAAACAACGAATTTACCATTATCCCTCCTGTCCAAAAAAACAATAAATACTATTATTAGTTAATCACAGTAACCGGAAAGAGGACAAAATCTACTCTAATGAATATGAACACACACACACACACACGTACACATGTACATTAAAACAATTTCAATGATGCATTGCAAAGTTTGCCAAAGTATACATTTTAGTGGTTGTGCAATGATAAACGGATAATACAAAATACCATCACTAAATTCAGATATTTATTCATGTATGCCTTTCATTTGAAATAAATTGTAAATGTTATTTAAATAATTCCATTACGCTTAATGCATAAAATGTTGTCTTCCCTTTAGGCAAAGTTATAGAAAATCTGTGTTGCTCTTCTTAAAATTTACACTTATATGACAAATAAAACTATACACACATACATAAGTTAAACAAGCAGATAGACGATCAAATCAATGTAGGTGGATGAAGGAAGACAAAATACTTATTCACTTTGTTAAACATAAACAACAAAAACCAGTAGGAGATTGTGAATTGGTAATTTGATTACAAAACTAACATTAAATACAACGAGTGCTTATATTTTTTGCTGAATTGAACAACAAAAATAGAGGAATATTTATTTGAGATTGTAATAAGTAATGTTTCGAGAACTTTTTCTCGGAGAATGAGAACCTGTTCTAATTTATTCAGGGAAAAATGAAGTGTATAAATACTTTAAAGTATTTCGGTATGAAGTCTGAAGCATTTAGTGTTATCTGGTCGAATAAGAATATGTTATCCAGAACTTCATCTATCATGCCTTTAGAACTAGATGCTTTAGTATGGATTCAACACTTTTGATTTGATTATTTAACTACAGATTGATAGGTTGATCTGTTCAGGTCTACCAGGATGTTCACCCATTCCTCCTGGAAAGCGGACATATCTTCTGGTGACATAGGACTGAACTAAACCAAATGTAACTAGAAGATAATTCAAAGGTAGATTAGACGTTAGTTGTTTACCAGATCATATACTCTCTGGGTCAAATGCTTTTCATAGTAAAAAAAGAAAGCTTACGACTTCAAACCTGTCACAGAGTAGGACTTCACGATTTCTGATGAAGCGAATCGTTGACTGTTAAAATATGAGAAAGAATGTTAGTTGATAAATGATGCTATTGCAATAATATGTTGGGGTTGAGTAGTGACCGTTACCGAGGCTGTATTGTTGATGAATGATTTGAGATCAAAGACAAGACCACTAGCCGTAATGGATTTTTCATGTAATAAAATAACATGTTTATAAGCATGACTTCATGCTTGTACTTCGTTGTTATCACCATTTTAATAGATTGTTTAATATGTGTTGCCATCCAGTTTTTGTCTAGTTTGAATAATATTGTGGTGTGTGCTACGGATGTCGACAGATATAAGTACTGTGTATCATCAATTGAAAGTGAAATACTTGGAGGCAGCAGGTTAAGAAGATCGAAGAGAAAAGAACAAGAACAGAGAGTGATTGGTGTGGAGAAGAAGAGTCAGTCAATTCTGAGATAACTGAATGACATTTTGCAAATGAGAAATTTACTGTATGGTTCTCAGATTTTACTAAGAGATTTTGTAATTTTGTGTTGAAATACATTTGAGTGTCCCCACTTGAGTTCTCGTTCACTAAAATATTATATATAGTTCGTGCATGCACCCTAACATCCGAATACTGTCTCAGTTTTATTACAAACTATAAGCTGGTTCTACTATCCTTAATTATTTTCTTAAAAGCAAAACAGTATTATGTAATGAGCTTGATGTTAATCACTATTTGATGATAATATTCAAATACAAATAGTTAGGTTTTAAAAAACTGTATTTTTAGAAACAATTACTATTCGTTGTACATTTGAATAAATAGTAATGAAGTACATATGTACACACCAAACATTAAAAGAACTGATCAATACAAGATGGTAATGAAAAAAAAGTAATAAAATTTGTGAAATTCAACATTTTACTTAGTAGTAACCGTATGATTCTGAAGTGAACTCGATTAAGATAGGATCGTTTTTATTATACGATATTATCGATTGAAGAACCATTAAAAAGTTTAAGGAGCAATAAACAACAATTTTTTTCTACATTACAACTATTCAAAAAATGTGAACCCACTATCAAACACACAGGATCACTAGGTGCACGATCGTATTATAAACACCATTCGTATGATATACTTAGGAGCTCATTATGAAACACCGACACCTGATGCAGTGAAGCTCAGGTTTACGTACTCAGCTTTGAGTCATGCTGTTTGAATAGGAACTATGGATATTACACCGTTGTTGATATGTTCGTGCACCAAAACACTATTTCGCAACTCCCACCTCAATATAGTGAACGAAACTACTCATGTATTCACTGTTCTGCTAACCAGAGTATGACGTCCAGTTTCGTAATTAAAGCCTTGCCGATGATGACCCCAGAAGAATTAAAAATGCATATAAGTTAATCGATTACATTATTGGTTTTAATGATTACAATTTATGAAGAGTAACTATTACTAAACATGAAGTACAATGAAAACGCATTGAACTCCCATAAATCAATGTCATGAAAATGTATTGAAAGTTGATTTTACATTCGCCAAAAACAGATAGTGGGTTTTTACTCACAAGTTGTATTTATGAGCTTCACATACCCAACAGCTGGTCAAACCATACTAGGTGCAGCGCTATTTAAACCTGAGACCTAATATTTAAGTACAAAGCCATAGTTTCTCAACAAGAGTTCTTACCGTACAAATCTTTATTACTAGAATTTAACGTAGTTAAAAAAGGAGCATGCAACGAACAAAAAATGCATATAACTAGTTAAAAGAAAAAAGGAGTTTTAGATCCATATTTAAGTAGATAAAATTGAGCTACCAGTTTCCAACGCTACCACGTAAAGTAGGTGGAATACAGCTTTTAATATTAAACTGAAATCTGGGCGCTTAGTACCTTTACAAGTTATTTTTCACTACACCACTAAATTTGTATGAACACTACGGGACTAATGGTTGACACAAATGAACATAATACTAGCTGTACAAAAGAGAAGTGCCACGTCATTCATAAAGATAAGCAAAAATAGGAGAATTAGTAGTCTTGAAATACTTGAGGATTTTTGACAACCTCGACTATATTAAACAACACCATTTCATTTTGATTGACCTCCAATTGAATAAGCTTGACTGTCTTCGATAATTTTGTAAACACCTGTATTTTACCATAGACTACTACATGTAAAAAAATTACTCATAAATGCGACTGTACATCTTCAGAAAATGGTATCATCGAAAATTTTATTCGCTGAAACTTCATTCTTCTTACATGTGTTTGTTGCAATATACTTAGATTATAAAAACGCGTGTTGTAACTGGTTTTCTTTGATTTCATGTTTACCTAGCCAACAAACGAAAGCTTTGAATCGTACTATGCGTGGTAAATCAGGCGAATTACACAAAATAAGTTGAAATTCGTATAACCAGAATATTTTTTAAAATACTGCTACGCAAATACGTAACGCAAAACAAAAAAGACGGACATGTATGATAGGAAATGTTAGTAGCATTTCATTATGCTCTTCTTAAGATCCAAAACTTCGCAAAATATATTACCCACCTGATTATCTGGCTGACGCCAACCTACGATACGATAAGCATCTAAACCTTTTTGTTGTAAAATTTGAACCCATGAAAGTGAGCGTGTCCCACCACTTGGTAGCCATATTCGGTCTTCAATGTTAAACTGTAAAACATACGCTTGAGCTGAGGCCACTGGTGATTCTCTACAGTAAAATGATAAAGAACATTTCCACACAAAATAAACCATAAATTTGGAAATAACTTTTAATAAGCCAAGATAGATACCATTGTTGAACTCATAAACATCACGGATAATATCGAATGTTTACAACGTTTGATAAGATTACAAATTATAGATCAATAAACATGCTAACTTCTAATAATAGGGGAACTGGAAATTCCTGATAGATCTCATCCGTAATCATGACGGAAAATAACTGGACATGAGCATATGTATTGTACTAAGAATCGGAGCAATATATTCAGAAGCGAAATGCTCACTTTTTTACTTTACTTGGCAATCGAAACATCCACTAAGTGAACTATGGTACTTAAATCAAGCCTAAAGTATAGCCTCGATGCACACACAAGATGTATAAAATATAATGCTTGGAAAAACTTCACATCAGGCTAGAAACGGAGATGCTTCGTTGTTTCAGAGCCTCAGCTGACAATCGAATGATTATAATCTTAGATGCATACCAACTAGCGTGGACCCTAGAATACGACTCCACAAATAAGTCAGTTCGTTGAATGAATATGATTAAGTCTACTTAGTATGGAAAGTTCACAAATGAACACAATTAAACCAATGATAGCGAATTCAGTGAAACCAAAATTTTACTTACTTTAACTCCCTGACTGAAGACATTACATATGCATCTATATTTCTGTACGCTGATATATGGAGACTGATGACTTAAAAGAAACGAGGCTGTAGTCAGCTGAGTCAAAAACGTGGCAATCCCTCTTTATTTTTGCTTAATTTTATGACGAAATGTTCCCCTTAATTATCCCTTGTTCGTTTTTATTTCCGCTCCTTCAGTTCCTTGGGTAAAAGTTTTAAATTTCACGTTATTCTAAAATTGATGACACAGAAAAAGGTATTGAATTAAAAAAGATGGTAAGGAGTACAACAACGATCCAGTTGCTGGGAGCAAACCGATCAAATTATAGTAAGAAGCAAAATTGGACAAACTATTTACATGTATAAAGTCTGTCAGACGACCTTGAGACGTAAACCTCCCACCATTATACAAGCGGCTTTAGATATATCAATTTCAATTTTTAACATCACATGCAGATATGCACAAGGTCAGAATCAGTGATTGCGATTAACAGATCACGGAGTAGTAAATGATTTCAGGAAAATCAATTTTTCATGCTTGTTGCAGCTCTGGATCCTAGCATTCCGCGTGAATCAAATAACCAGTCTGAAATCTTCTACATATATGATTTACAGTGTTAGTCTTTTAAATGCAGATAAGGATACAGATAATGTTTTGTATTGAAGAACTGAAGACCATCAACCATAGACTATGTATGTTGCAAGCAAGTGTCCTACCACTGAGCAGTTTAGCTTGTAGTGCCTGTGAAATGTCACCTAGCAGTTGGATCACTGAATATCTAACAGTTTACCTACATTCGTCAAAGTAGTTAACAATCAACGTGCATTATTTAATTGCGCATCCTATACTGACCCACGTAACTGTGGTCACAATATACTTCTTGTACCTACTCATACTAATATATTACTGCAATGACGTGTAGCGGTGAATAAATCCCACAAAATAAATAGTTCCGTAAGTTTTCGACATTTGATGCTGACTGCATTAGTTTCGATGGACTCACTTAGCTGAAGGCACTCGATCAGGCATCCGTACCAGATCACGGGTGGGTACGTCGTGCAACATATCCCTTTTAACTATTAGCGCAACATCACTTCGAAATACATACAGCCTTACAAATATATCTTTGAACTCGTTCATTCCAAGCTTCTTATTTCAGTGAATTGGCACGTCATGTTTACAAAAGGTGTTACCAGTTAGTGTGTTGTCAAGCTCCGAATACTTGTGTCATCTTTAGTGGTAAGCCCGATATGATCTGGTACACCTATTCGTAAACTGTGGGTATGTTTTTTTGGAACTTTATATATCAATTTCTAACTTTAATTTTTACATATCGCTATTATTTGGATACAAATTTTTGGATATTTTCTCCTCATTCACTGGTGTACTTTATATATTTCATGACGGAAAAAATCCCAAGTTATGTAAGATTAGATCTCTTACGTTACCCTCATTTCAGCTAGTGCCATACTTGCCTGAAAACGTCGCCGCCTGGTTCTGCTACAGAGAAGCTGATTTTCACGGGCATAGAGTTTCACACCCACGTGCACAATTCCTTGCAGTAGTAGGCACTGCCACACGAAGTCAACAGGTATGTTTCACCCGAAATGTTTATTGGGGATGTTTCAGAACCTGACGAAACTTTGACAAAGACTATTCGTCATGTGATCGATCTACATAGGCATCCAACATCACTGAGCTGCAATACAACTTAGCAAAAGACATGTCAGTGGTCAATAGACCTTGGATGAGGGCCGGTTTAGACTACTCTCCTTGTCTAAGCTGCCCTGTTAGGAGCGGACAGTGTTGGTATCATTACAAAATAACACTGTGAACAAACTGGGTACATCTGCCGACCGGATTCCTGAGATGAACAGAGCTTCCAGAACCAAGGTCTGTTCAATCAAATAAAAACTTCAAACGACAAGAAATGGCGTCACAGAACTGTCATAATTTGACACATTATTTTGCTGCCTGAAGGAGTACTTCACGAAAATGATTTGACTTTAGATCACAAGGGACAGATAGCCCTGGTTAGCGCTGGTACCATTATGAGTATGAATAATCTCCCCTAAATAGCAGAAAATCCTGCAATGTCTAGGGCCCTAGATTCCGCTGGTCTCTGGTGTAGACGTCAGCACTGTTCCAGCAAATTCGAACGACTAACTGCGTGAAGCAGTTTACAACTTACATGTGGCAAATCAGAAACCGATCGCCACATATAGTAAGCGGTGTGTTTATCTTAACTTTGGTCTGCACAAACCCGTCCACCAGACCTTTATTGTTGCAGATATTCCTATGCCAACATTGGTATAGACCTGTTACAACACCATAATCTGCTCATCGACACGAAGTTAGTAGATGGCAATACTGAATTATTTGTTTGTGTAACTTCATTTTCCGGTTGTAGATCATCCCCATTCACAGTAAGACACACGATCGATCCATAATGCCGACAATTACTCGATAACTGTAGTGACATATTGATTCATATAATATAGTCGCACTTAATTAAATGAAGTAATAGTTTAAACGCCGTATTTTATATAAATTTGAGTGTTTGCTAACGATTTTAGAAATGTACGATTGTTTACTTTACGATAAGTAATCAATTGAAAACTCTCTATATTTTACTCATGTATCCTTACCAACAAAAGTTTTCATAAACTATCTTCCTTAACATAGGATTATACAATTTTCGACAAAAAGCTGATTAACAATGTCCAGTGCTTCCAGGTTTTCAATGGTGCTCTACCTTCAACTAACTCATGATTTCAATCTGTGAAAATTTCTAAAATCTCCACAAACCCCTTCTGATAATGTTTAAATGATTCAACATTCGGAAAATCCGTACAAGAAAAGATTTTGATAAATTTCCACCCCACCCCCAAAAAATAAATAAACAAACAACTCACTAAAACAATAGTTGCAATTGTCATGTCAACAGTGTGAGTTTTGAAGAAAAAACATGAATACTGTTATATCGTAGCGAAGATTAAATTACGAACAACTTCTGAGACCTATTAGTGGACAAATATTATCTATATATTCCTATGGTATAACTATTCAGTAATTAGATTATGTATATTTATATTCCTCTTATTATAAGCTTTATTTTAACCTATAGATTATTATTGTACAATTTACTGTTCTCAAGTTATACTCAGTTTATTATTTACTATGCCCCACGTTCACAGCCACATTTTGGCTTTATTGTGTACGAATGTTATTTCTTATTTTATGGTGCGTGGCGGTCTGTTTAGTTGATATATAAACCCAGTATGTCTGAAATAAATGATTCACACAGTGGAGGTTGTTATTAGCCTTCTGAACTCGAGTGGATGGGCTAGGCGAGCAACGGACCAAATAGGACGCTAGACTGATCAGACCGAATGAACGTCATTGGTTTAGAACAGTACAAGAGCGAATAATTCGTATTTTGATTGGTGATTAGATTACGTAATAACTAGCGGGCCATAAAGACACTAAAGAAATGTTAGATACACCTAGTTGGTAATAAAGACAAATAGTAGGAATCTTCACTGAGTGTATATGCAATAATTCAGTGGACAAATCATTATTATCACTATTAAATGTACAGAATTATCAATTAACTGTATACAGTAAATCTAAGTTGAATATTAAATCAATAATTGAGTTGTTTTGTTTTTGAAATAATCATTTAACCATCAAATATGATACGTTTTACTTCTTTCGTTGAACTTTTACATAGTCCCATAATTTTTGCTTTTTCTAATCGTTTAGCTTGCCATGATGGATGTAAACCAGGTTTAGATAATTCAGATATAACAGGTTCTGTAAGATTAGATGTTGTACTAGGCATTTGTAAATTATCTTGTTTCATTTTGTATGGAAATTTAGTAAAGTTTTGCTTTGTATAAGATTTACGTGAATTTAGTTTTGAAGGATACTTTTTCATTTGTTGTTGTTTCACAAAATTTTTCTTCTTCTATAAAATAGTAAAGAAATATGATTAATATCAGAAGGGTCTTTTGTGGATATTATAGTAATTTCAATGGTTGAGATCATGAGTCAGATGAAGCTAGACCACCGTTTCGTCCTAGTATGGGACTCCTCAGCAGTGCGCAACCACGATTCCGCCTCACGAGGTTCCAACACAGAACCTATGAGTCTTGAGTACGAACGCTTAACCTCTAGACCACTGAGCCGGCCGGCATCCAACGGTGTTAATGTCTAACTTCAATTAATCCACGAAATTGAGCCACCGTCCACTATTTTCTTTAGTGAGTTACTATCTGACAAAAGACCCGGTTGAGCTCCACTGATCACTGCTTCCCACTAGAACTCTAGGAAATACCTCTTGGAGACTGTTAATAGTGAGTATATGTTGATTATTATCAGAAATGGTTTTGTTGAGTGTATGCGCACTGTTGAATAGTTCCATACTAAGACGAAACGGCCGTCCAGGTTTCCCATGGTAGTCTGGCTTCAATTAACTCATGATCTCAATCATTGAAATATGATTAAGTTTTTGGAAACATTACTGACTGTCAGCATGACTGATGATTAGGCAAACTATTTTTTTAAAGACGACAGTTTATAGAATATAAAGACTAGATGACTTAACTGCACAATATGTGTGATTAGTTCATACGCTAGTGTGAACTACTGATATCAATAAATATAAGTAGTATGTGTCACCGATCGAAAGTGAAATGCCTGGTGGCGGAATGTTAAGAAGATCGAAGAGAATAGAATAAGAACATAAAGTAATTGGTGTGGAAACGAAGGAACAATCAAGTCTGAGACAATTGATTGACATTTTGCTTATAAAGTATTTACTGTATGGTTTTCGGATCCGTAATTTTGTATTCAAATACATTTGATTATCATCGCTTGTATTCTTTTTTATCACAATACTCTTACGGACCTATCGAAATAATATCAATAACCAACACGGATACGTTTATTATTATTAATATTATTGAAGTACGTAACGAAATTTTGAAATTTTTTCTAAGAACAGAATGCGTATTTATAC